AGTGAGATGAGATGTTTGTGGCTGCAGGAGTAACGACCTTTCATGCTGTTTTAAGAAACCTAATGTTTAAATTCATGTGCGGGCTCAATGGGTCACAAAATGAAATAATATTGGGCTTAACTAACATGCGGCTAAATATTACATGCTACCAATCCTGTATTTGGAAACACTGGTATAATTGTCTCCTGGTAGAACAATGTGTTCTAATCATTTTAAATAATTTGATACTTTAAAATTTTCTAACCATGGTTTACTATGGTGTTTTTTATATGTATATATGTATGTATTGTGTGCATGTGTGTTTGTGGGTATGTATTTATGCATTGTTGTGGGTAAGATTTGGACCTTGAGTCTGTAATAAAGTTTTGAATTGAATTCAATTGAAACATTTGTAGCTCTAAGTCATCCATTAATTTACACTGCATTGTATAAATGAGGTTGGTTATCATGCTGTACTACAATGTACACATTAGCCTAAGAAAGACAAAAGAGCTTTAGATTTAGAACTATAGTGTGTACATGGCGGCTGTGGCTCAGGAGGTACAGCGGGTTAGCTGTTAATCGGAAGGTCGATTAGAAGATACTGAACCCCGATTTGACCCTGGCGGCTGTTCCGCCAGTGTATGAATGTTTGTGAATGTTAGTTTCCGTTTGAGCACTTAGCCTCAGTGTGTGAATGTGTATGACTGGTGAATGCAGATGTAGTGTAAAAGCGCTTTGAGTGGTCGAAAAGACTAGAAAGGTGCTATACAAATACGGAGCATTTACATGGTATATCCAAAAAGTGTTTGCCATTTTGAAATGTATATGGCATTTTATAAGCGGTGTTTCATTTTGAGTGACTCTCAGTGTCAATTAATCTGTGGAATTGTGTGTAGAGTTTTAAAAAATGGAGACAGTTTTGAAAATGTGCGTAAGTAGTTGGAAAAAAATGTAAATTAAAGTGGGAGCTATTGAATGACAAACAAATCTCTGAAGAAGCTTAAAATCTATCCATAACTGTCTGTATATGTTTTTTTGGAATGCAGTTGTCTTGTTGCTAAATATTTTTGTCATTCTTGTGGAAATAATTGCCACTGACAATAAGATTTTCCTCTTATTGTCATTCATAACCTCATAATTAAAAACCAGAGCAAATCTAAATTAATAGAGCTGTGCTGTGATAGCCTCTCCTTCAGCGTGCCGAAGAGGAAACAACCACATCTAGGTGGCGGTATCTGAGTGTGTGTAGTGGGGGGCGTTTTGTGTGGGAAAGGTGACTAATTGCCCTCTTGTTCATTCTCTGAGATGGATGAGAACACTCGCCCCTCTGCTCCTCTAAGCTTATGGCTGTGTGTCAGGATTACCCGGGATGCTTCTCGAGTATCCCCTTATTCTTTCAATGGGATCTCATCTCATCTCATCTCATCGCAGATGTTACCTGGCATGCCTGTGCGTTACTGCCACTTCATCACTCTCTGCACCTTGGCTTTGCTTGTGGGGGTAACAGAAAACACCTCATCACAGTTGTCTGCCTTGCACAGTCTTTTCCACCCATTTATGTGATATTGGGATGCTAACATGTCAAGTGATATTTAACAATGACTCTCTCTGTACCTGTCTCTTCCTGAATGATGGTAAAGCTGCTTAGTCATTTGAGTAGATGGAGCAAATCTTACTAATGATCATGATGCTGTTACGCAGGCCAGACGCATCAGTCCAGCTGAATATGTGTCACATTATTCACCGGTCATAGCACTGTATCAAGGCCCTGCTGTCACTCCTGCAGCACCACAACTCTCCATCCTTGAAGCATCACTCCAGTTAGTCATAGTTGAGTAAGATGACAGCCATAGCCATGACATGCAGTGAATTGACAGACTAATTCAAGATGGCTGCCTTACATACAGCTATCACACTTGAGGCATTTGGGGCCAAGCAGAAGTGTTTTAGAAAACCTCTCTTCTCGACACCTCTTCTTTCTTTCTTGTCTTTCTGTCTTTTTGGTGCTGTCCGGGGAAAAGGATGTCTCTTCAATTTTTTGAAATTTAATAGCTCTTTTACTTTTACTCTCCTACTTGTCAAGTGAAATAAACCACTTTAAAAATGGATTATCTGAACAAATTACTGTCAAACAGCTAAAAACAGGCACATTGTTCTAAGCTCATTAAAAGTTGATGTTTTGTAGATAGGTGCTTTTCAAAGGACAGCAACCATACCCAAGACGATTTTCTTTATAGAGTCCAAGAGCACACATTTGTCTCAGAGGCCTTTAAAATCTGTATAACATATGACACCCTCTATCCTCAATTCAGATTAAATGGACTTTACCTACTAACCTGGTGGAAACACACAACACAACATACAGTAAGATGCTTAGAAAATACCCCATAGAGGAATACAATTATCTGCAAGAACCATGATTATAAAAACATATGACTTATCTTTCAGTGTAGGTGATTCTGCGTTAAGATAATAGGCTAATCTCTGTACCTAATTATTTTTGGTTCACTTCACAACACATTTTCTGTCTTCCTATTCTTTTCAATTGAACTCTTTTGATCTATTCTGTGTTGGCGCACCTGCTCTCTTTAGATATCTCTCCCTCTCGGTGTGGTTCGCTCTCACACACACACACACACACACACACAGTGCACACTATCAGTTTCTCTCTCTCTCTCAAGCACACACGAATACTTACACATCTCTCTGCTTCGCCCTGGTTGGATTTCTCTTTCTCTGTAATTACAGGCTTCTTATCTACTTCCTATGTTACGTGCTGAAGCCATTGGCCTCCTCTGTGTTTCCTCCTCTACCATTTTAGTGTCACAGATCTTCCGCTGCTTCTCCCTCCAGAAGCCAACAAGGCAGGGACACACAATATGCTTTAACACGGCTGAACTGGCCAAGTTTGACGGCTGCATGGGACAAATCCAAGAGAGGAACTATATTCTGGTGGCAGCTTTTGCTAGAAAGGGGCTGTGTGAGTGAAATATTGGTGTGTCGTTATGGTTGTGGGTGTGCGTAAGGGAGAGAGAGGGGAAAAACTGCAAGATGGAGAGAAAATGTGGGCTTCTGCATTCATAGCCGGTTGGTGAATAAGTGTTTCTGTGTTTCCAGGAGTTGTAAAGTTTTATTTAATTATTCATGTGGAAGCAGTAACATTGCTTCCCAAACTAGCAAATGAAACTCCATCTTGCCAAGGAACTCACACAGGTCACAGTGACCAATTACTTAATGAAAATGATCAGGTTTCTAATGCAGCCCTGGCCAGAGCTCATCTCTAAATTCCTGCAGTACTTCATGTAGCTATAAAACAGAGTGTACCTGCAGCTTTCTTCCAGTGCTTAGGCAAAGTGTGCCACCGCTGCAGTCTTTAGACCCATCAAAACCCCAAATGGCTGAACCAGCTTTAAGGAAAGGATTATGACTTATTAAGAATGGCTAATGTATGATGTAAACGTTGGCTCCCGCTCCATCTCTATCCTCTCCTGTCTCTTTGGCTCAGCCTCAACTTCTCTCTCTTGCAGTAAAATGGTGTGTTTGTGTTCATGCTTATATTTTCAAATACTAACCTACTTCTATAGAGCGTTAAAGGAATAGGGATGGAAGATGTTCAGAACATCTTGTTCTGCAGTCCTAAGTTTGTTCTGTATTTTAAAAAGCTTTTAAAAACCTATGTATGACCATTCTCTGAGATTCTTGTTGTATTTTATGGTGTAGCCTATTTTTTTGTGTCCCTGGAATGAAGAAGCTTCTTTTTTTTTTTTAAAGCTGCTGAAGACATAAAGTTCGCTTACTTACAAAACCATCACATGATGACCTGGTCTGAAGAAACAGCATTTAAGGCTTCAGAAGGATGCATACTAAATCAAGTGTATCTTCTTCTTTAGTACAAAAGTCTCTCTGTGTTACTTTCCCTGCACTATGGCTCAGCTTGGAAAAGCTGCCGGGGAAACACAGAGGGAAGACTGTGGAGTGGCTTTTGCTACCCATCTGTTACAGTGAAGTCATATGAAGGAATGAGTACATGACCAGTATTGCAATAGAAATTATAACAGCCACCAGTAACTTTTTTCACTGTAAATGTTTACATGTGTGATTTTACTATCAGTGAAACAACTTGAAAAACAATCTGAATTTATCCTTTTATCCAAGTTGTGTCACCAAATGAATAATCCTCACAGCTGCGAGAAATGTCTGCCCATAATCTGATGGACAGTTGTCTATCCTCTGGCTACTTGACACCGTCACAAAGGCTATTTTAGTAATGCGCCTCCTGACTCCTTCAGCACCACGGACAGCGCCATCTGCGCCCAGCCTCTCTCTGTCTCCATCTAGCTGGTTTCCTGACTGCTGTGACAGTAAAGCCTTTACCATGTTACACGGAGAGCATGCAACACCAGCGAGAGCAGCGGCTCACACAAACACACACACAGAGCAGGCTGCGAACCGACTGCAGGCTCTGCATGCAGCTCCCGTTCTAAATATTTCTGCCTGGTAATACAAAACCAGGCATATTGTGCTAAATTATTTAATACCAGACTGCAAGGCTCGGGCTGTATGGCATGAGGTAATCGCTACAGCCCGGTTTGTTTTATGCTTTGCCATGGTACCAACAAGTGGAAATGGGTTTTGGAAATAGATCTCAAGAGTGTGTGTTTATTGCTCCTCTCATGATTTTTATATTATGGGTCCACTTTATGGGCGTCAAAGTAGCAGGGAAGGTAATCGTTTAGAGTTGATCATAAAGTGACGTTCAGGATTTGGGCAAAGCATAATGTTTGACAGGCCTATGGATCTGTTTGGGTGACGTAGCAGTAAAAGTGATATTTTGTTTTGCAGGGTGGTTATGGTAACATTGATAAAGTCGATCTATTGGGTTAACAGTGGATTAAGATGATCGACCATGTGAGCAAGATTTTGAACACCTTTCTACATCTTGATAATCCCGTTCTTGTAATATCCTAACAGCCTTAGGGAGTGATCGATCAGCTGCAACCTGTGCGCATAGCAGGCAATGGACCGATATTAAGTCGAAGGCGGTGTTTTGGCTGTACGGTGACGTTTTAAGGCAGGTCCTGGTCAAACCTACCAATGATACAAGTCGGTCCTATTCTATTGGGACTGATCGCAATGAACGGGTGCCGGAGCTCTGCACGGCAAAGGAGCAACCACAGCGAGACGAGGCGATCAAGGGGATGCGGCATCGGTACGCTGGAGCTGTCCATCAGCACCAAATCCCCGACGAAAAGCAAGGAAACAGCAAGCAGAACCCAGACCCAGTCGCTCCTGTTTTCAGCCTGCCGCCCCCGCCCTCTTCTCATCACCGAGACCGCACTTCAACAGCCGCCGCTCACCGCCAGAGCCTCCAGGAGCTCCCGTGTCTGAGCCAGCCCTCTCGGAGACCTGTTCACAGTGGCGACCCTCTACCTCTGGCGAGATACGACACCGCCCAGCGTACTTCACACCGGGGCGGTGAACCCAGCACCGGGCAGCCGGCGCACCTGCAGCAGGATCCTTGGGCCCCGACCGGTTCTCAGCCGCAGCAGCCGCCGCCGCCGCCGCCGCAGTCGGAGAAGCAGCCTGTTTTTCCAAGCTGCCACTGCAGTTTTTCCGAGCAGGAGGCGAGCCTTTCTCAAAATCAGCACCATCCTTTCGATCCTCTCCCACCGCAGCCCTCCCCACCTTTTCCGCCGCCTATACCACCGCCACCAACGTCGTCCTCCTCCTCTCTGCTGTTAACCCGGGAATCTAAAAGAGGGGATCGTCTCCAAAGGAGTGCCAATAATTACCAACAGGCAAGCATCGTGGAACGCTGCAGGGGAGGAGGAGGAGCAGGAGGGCACCGAGACCACAGGCAGTTGTTGCAGCAGCAGCAGCAGAAGCAACAACAGCATCAACAGCACAGTCATTTAAGACTCCAACAGAGGGACCCCTCCCCTGAAGGAATCCGTGCAAACTCGCAGAAAGGGCGCTCTTTAAATGTATGTGAGTCAACCGAGGCTAACAGGAGAGCATTCGAGTCTCAGACTCAGGACCTGCAGCAGCAGCAGCAGCAGCAGCAACAGATCCCACAATTACGAGCGCAGCAACAGCTACTGGTGGGGAGCAGCTTGCCTATCAACTACTGCGCCAGCGGCTCAGGAGAGCTATGTAGGACTCACCAGGCACCACTGCTGCAACAGCAAGAGCAGCAGCAACAGCGGCAGCAGCAGCAGCAAAGCGCACTGGGGCTCTGTCCCCAGCGTCCGCAGCACTGTGAACAAGACCGCAATAAGTCTGGGAGGATCTCCGCGCAAGGCGACCAGGCGCAGCCACACAGCCGCGACTCCCGCATAACCCCCCCGGTACCACAACAGGCATACGCGGGGAACTCGTCTGCGACTGTCAGCAACAGCAGCAAAGACAGCCCCAACTACGGCTCGAGCTATCACCTGTGGCCAGAGAGCCCGCATAAAGGAGAGGAGAGGATACGCATCGACCTCCATAAGGTAGATTTTTCACATTTTATCCTGCGATATCGTATCTAAGTAGCCTCTAATGACAAAAACAAACTGGCCTTAACGTTTTCACTCAACGACCACGCCTGTCATATGATTTTGATAGAGCACATTCGCCTATGTGTATGGTGTGCACGCGCGTGGTGCGTGTGTGTGTGTATGTAGCCTATGTATGTAAAAAGCGGAGTTGGGGGGGCGGGTGGTATTTGAATCGTTATTCAATGTTGAGCAGCTGTTCCAAAAGCACCAATGCAACTACATGTAACCCAATGCGTGATGTTTTTCATTTAACCTGCCATTTGTCTAATTTGGTTACACAACCACGCGCACGCACGCACAAACGCGAACACACACCTGTTCCATGTTGCAGTGTTGTTTGGGGTAACCCACGGAAAATATTCAAATGACGCTCCCTGGCAGCCGAATTAGAAACAAGGCGTTTGTTGTTTCCACAGAACAGAGGGGCATCTGAGCGGGGAATTTTAATATTTTGGCTTTTAAACCGTTAGGCCTGTACCTGCCAGTGAGTGCAGCTCCTGGCAGGGTGTTCCACATACTCCCAACCTCACTTTATACAGTAAAATGTGCTGTATGCTCTGCTTAGAGAGCTGTCCAACAGGGTAGGCCTACTATTTGTATTAGACCTATATTACATGTATGATAAAAAAGAAAATACCTCACAGGACTTATTAGATCTGGCCAAACAAATTATGAAAAGAAAAGCATGTTGATTACATAAAAATAAGTAACAACATGAATGATAACATATTGAGGAGGTAATGTCAGACAAAATAAGTTCAAATATGGTGGCAGTAACAAGTGAGAAGGTGTGCATATGTGTGTCAGCATTTATGTATTAAAAAAGAAAAAAAAGAAAGGAAAAAGAATAAGAATAAGAACAATTTAAAGCAGTCTGATTCAAATGATGTAAAAATCTATGTATTAAAAGAAGATTAACTGGCAGTATAAATGTTACTATCCCCTCAGCCTTATTGGCGTTTATAGAAAACCCACAAGGTGATCTGGGAAAGTGTTTTTAACAAGACAGGTCATTGTCAAGTACATTTGCTTAGTGTTTTGTCAAAAAATTAGTGAGTTGAATGTTCTTTCTTTTGTTTTGGTACAGTGTGGATCTTGCAGAGAAAGGCAAACCAGAGAAAGCTAAATCAAACTGCAAGATGCTAAAGTACATTGTTGTTGCATCTAGCCGTTAACACCTCATGCTTCACCAGTCATCTCCCCAGAGAAATCTACTTGACGAAACACTAATGTGCTAATTTTTTGGCTGATTATACGAATGGACATATGAACATGTGAACAGATGTTAATTTGTATTTATTTTCAAATAAGCAGCAGTTTAGTCCTCACCAATCTTTTTGTTTTTCCTTACTCCAGGTGCAATCGATGTGAAGTTTTTTTATATCACAGGATAGAAAAGAAAAAAGCAAAAGGAGGAACTGACGAGGGTACAGCATCTAAATAAGAGCATCAGACTGCCTTTTAAAATGCTGCAGCTGTTTTCAGGGGCTGAGCTGGCACCAGTAGCAAAAGGTGGTACATCGAACAACCTTGACATGACTGTTCTGAACTTGGCTCGATTTTGGAGCATCAGCAGAACACCGGAATGACCAAATGACTGAAGGGAAAGTAAACTTTTTTTCTTGAAGTTGCCAAGTTTCAAGTTAAAATCACAGGGGGTTTTGCTGAGAGAGAAGCTGAACACCCAGTGTGAGGTAAATTAAGAATAGGCCTACTGGAACCCTATTCTTATAGTTACAATTCATGTAATATTGAGCAGACATATAAAGGGTCTGCTATTTGGTGTCGAAAATTCCTAAATGTTATGTTATGCACTGCATCATAGATGCATCACACAGAAATGGGGACTTGAGTTTGAGACTCGTCCTAAGTCGGACACACAGTGACTTCAGACTCGACTTGAGACCCGTCCTCAAAAGACTTCAGACTTGACTCGGACTCAAGGTGCAGGGCTCCTGAACAATGTTTATTCCCCTCCCTGCGTTACCTATAACCTGCCCACGTAAAACATGCTATGAATCTGCTGCGCGCGGCCACATGTGAGAGAGGACAACAAAAACCAGCAGCTGCTGTGTCGTTCATCAGAAACTTTGGCTTTAAAACTTCATATACAAGACCCAAACAAAGAAGCGCTGAACGCAAAATAGGTTAGCAACCTGAGGTTAGTGAACATGTTTAGCTCAGCTGACGTTAGCTTGCTTCTTACTTTAACTACGACCTACCGAAGGTCAACCCCGACTGTCGTTTGTTATGAAAAGATGAGTGAGCGTTTGTTTACTTGCCAAACTTGTGGTGTCCATTAACATAATCATTTACCTCCCGCTGGCTGTCATCACGTTAATTGTTAGGCTAATGTTGACTGCAAACAGGGACAGGTTTATTGTTGATGATGTAACGTTACAGTTTGATTTAGTTAACATTACACTAGTTTGAGAGTCTGGTATGTTGACTTACAGTAGTTCTCCTTTGTTTTGCAGCTTTCCAGCTCATATATTTTTACTGCAAACAAGACATTTATTTATTACAAAACTATTACATAATCCACTTTCAAACATGAAACTAAAAATCTGAAAGACAAATCTTAGAAGTATTCCCATGACATACTCTTCCTAAGTGTCCACCCTTTTCCACTCACAGCCGAGCGTGGCAAGTATTTTGATACGGCTAGACATGCTTATCTATTCACGGATATTTGTGGGATCATGGTTACATATTGACTCGCCCTCAATGAGACAGTCCCTGCCCTCGCTCCCCATTTGAAATCCCTTAAACAAAACACTTGTGACAGAACAAGCCTGACAAAGTGTATACGATTACAGTATCCCACAGCACAACCTGAAACTCAATAGCTAGCCCACTGAACTGATGGCAGGTTGTACGATATTGTGTCCTACCTCATAACATTGTGCTTTGAAAGGCGCATTGCTGCTTCTATTGTGATAGGCTGTGTAAGTACTCTAATGCCTGCCACTTACTGCTATGGTGATATCTCCGGCTGGGACTAGCACATAAACACTGGTGGATTTGCTCTTGTTTAACAAGGCAGATATTAGAGGATACCCAGACGTCGTGTTTAGCAGAAGCCTGTGATTAATCACTGTACAGTTTGTCAGATTTGGTGCCATCCACGGCACAGATATCAACAACTCTGAAAATGAATGAAATGCCAGAAAAGTTCAAAATGAGAAGGCAACAACGGAAGGAAGTGCACTTTTTGCCAGATCATATTTTTATCATGTTTATGTGGCTTCTGTCCCCTGCTGGGACAGTATGGATGATTTGTGGAGAATCCTGCCTGGTGCATTCTCGGAGACAGGAAGGACCAATAATTTAGCGCTGCAACTTTTCATTATTGATTAATCTGTTAATATTTATATAAATCAAGGAATCGTTTGACAGTTTGGGATATATGCTTACTTGTTTTCTTGACAAGAGTTAGAAAGTGAGATTGAAACATCAAACTATTCCATTAATCGATTCATTCTGACAATTTTAGTCATTGTCAAATAAAGATAATATAGTGTAACATACTCATTACCACTTACCAGAGCCCAGTGTGACAGATGCACATTGTTTATGTTGTAAAACCAACAGTTCAAAATCTCAAAGTATTCAGTTTTAGTATTTGGCATTTTTCTTTGATAGGTGATTACTTAACTTAATTGTTGACAATCAATTTTATCAGCTAACTAATTGATTAATCAACTAATAGTTTCAGCACTACACATTTGATCAGAACACATGTTAGCAGGCATGAAATGAATGATGAAATGAAATGATGTTGCCCAGCTCAGGCTGCAACTAACAAGTATTTTCGTTATCAATTAATCTGCCGATTAGGTTTTCTATTCATGGATTACTCGTTTGCTTTGTAAAATATTAGAAAGTAGTGAACAATGCCTGTTACAGTTTCCCTAAGCCTGAGTTGATATCTTCAGATAGCTTGTAAAATGTACTTTGGTATAAGAAAAAGAAAACCAACAAATACTCACAATTGTGAAACTGGCGAAGTGATATTTCTGCTTGAAAATTTACTTGATTATCGAAGCAGTTGCCCATAAATTTTCTGTAGATCAACTAATCGATTGATTGATAAATTGTTTGAGCTCTACTGAGCTTATCTGAAGCTATATCACAATTTGGAATGCAACAAATCTTTGCTGCATGTTCACCATTTAGTTGTCATGAGATGCACATCTATAAAATTGGATGTGAAAATAAAAAAACAAATGTGGAAGTTAGGTCAAGGGTTTAAAGTAAAAAAGAATAAATAAAAATATTTACAGCCTGCTGCCGTCTTTCTTTTCTCCTGTCACATCACCCATGTTTGTTGGGTGCACCGGGCATGTAAGCTGCTCTGCTGTAGCTGTGTGTGTGTCAGGCGAGTGCCAACCCACCTTTCTGGAGAACTTAAGGTTGTGTGTGTCATTGCAGAATGGATGGCTCGAAATAGGGGGAAAGCTATTACATTAAAGCCTTTTTGCATATCGTGCCAAACTGCATTCCAGCACGCGTGTAATCACCCTATATGATCAAGCAAAGGTCAACACAATATATATCAAAGTGGTACTTGCAACAAACTTAGTGTCTCTTCGATGCTGTCTGGAGGATTTAGTGGAGTCGTGTTTAGTGGTGGTTGTGTGTACAGCTCTGTACAGTAGAAAGTGAATAATTTTGTTCCCCAGAAACATGAACAGCAGATGTGGAAGTATTTCATAAAGAAAGACAAACTAACACTTCTTATTTTTTAAATATTTTCAGTTTTGCTGCTTTCATCCATTTAAAGTGTTTAGTATTTCATTTTGCTCCTGTTTTTTCTTTTCAGTGTTCAGATTTTCTTGTAACTAAGATCATTAATTTTAAGTGAGTCCTACTTTTTAGCTTTCCTCTTGACTAAATGAAGGAAAATGCCGAGGTAATTGGGCTGCCGGATCTCTTTTAAAAAAATAAGT